TATTATATTTCCCCGCGCTAACAATGGCCGCTCGCTCGAAAAAAAAAATTTCTGGCGAAGTCGGATTTGCTGACGCTATCAGCGTGCACTATCGGGATTTTGAGCACGCTTACGTATAATGAATTTGATTGCGCGACTCTGCTAGCTATGTTCTAATTTTACTTGGTGACCGAGCCCAGGTCTTGAACCTTTCCATTGTTGCCGGATACAAATGATGGGGTGCATGAAACGTACCGCAATTACATCACCGACATTCAGATTTTAACTTAACTTGCGTGACCGTCGATCATTTAATTAATCCACTTCCTTTCTTTTGATGTATTCTACAAATTTTAGAGCCTTGGAAATGTTGTGCTGGCGAATTCTAAGATTGATAATATTTTTCTATGGCCTTAGGATTTCAGGTAAGTCTTTTTTAGGGATAAAGGCTGATAGTTTCTAAAGAAACTGTTTGGGGCTGCGTCGGTGGGGGGTAAGGAAATAATTTGAATATATCAACAAAGTTGATATATTCGCTCCGACGAAGGGCTAACGCTCGAAACGTCAGCTTTTATAATCGTAACGGTGGCCAATTTACCATTTCAACTTTGTTGATATATTCAAATTATTTCTTTTTTAGGGAGTATCGAAAAGATAGGATGTAAAATTTTCATAATGGTTCAAACATGTCACTTCGCAATAAGACGCGAGAAATGTAAGCGCAGCTACTGACCTCGGTCTGTAGCGTTTGAGTAGTTTATCTTATTTGTCACAGTTAGGAAAAATAACTTTGAACTGCTTTTAACAGACAGTCGATGAAGGTGTTGTGAACGTGCAAACGAATATTGTTGTTGCGATTAAATAGAACATGACTCTACAGAGACTTCCGCTTCGTCTTACGACGGTTAAGAATCAACATCCTGGCGTACGCAAACTTGAAGTGCTCGTCAGGAAACCGTTCATTTACTTCTTACTAGGAGGCGTAATCAGTAACTGGCGAGTAAATATCGAAAAAAAGTCAGTATCTGCTTATCTCCCTATCTAAAAAGGGTATCTGAATTCCAAAGCTGTACAAACTAAAACTGGTAAGCTTTGTTTACATGACACGAGATTAGCGGCATTGTTTGGGGTGCAAGAATTACATTTCTTTGTTTTGGAAGGAGACAATCTTCGAACTTTGAATGTGCTCCAAGAGTAGAGCAAGTTGACCAAAGTTTTGTATCTTTAAGGATTCAACGAGAGCACCAAAGTGACAGAGCGACCAACTGCTCAGCCATTAGAAAATACCGGTACAGTTTGGGAAAAATTAAAATATTACATCGAAACAACGGATATTGTGAACGGATACAAACCGCGGTTTCAAGCTAAAAGTAAGTCTGGTAGAATGTTACCGTAGGCTCAGCGAACAATATATATTCCTGTTGAACAGAAACTGTTCTTTGGCCATCCGGGTCATACGGGATACCAAAACCTGCATCTGGGTGTCCTAAAGCAGAGGGGTTTGGCTGGAAGGAGGGATGGAGATATCAAGACACAGAGGATACTAATTCGGCCAACGCAAAATCACCACAGTTTCACCTTGATGCAGTGGTTGAAAGTCGTGGAATTAAAAGATCTTTCTGCATGAAAACTTTCACAGCTGACGATAGCAACAGAATAGACTGGCCATCAGGTAAGCAAGTGATCTTTATCATTGCAACCAGTGCAACCAGTGCAACCACACTTACAAGATAACAAGGGTTGAGTTTCCAAAGCAACCGTGGTGTTGAGTCGGTGGACCGGAGTTAATGCGAGATAATATAAGCAATCATTGGACAGAGTCGAGCATAGTTTCATAAATTATCAATGCCAATGTCTGAGGTATCTGCCGAAGCCGATGGCTGAGGCAGACAACGCAGACACGAGGTTTGATAATCCATGATATCAAGCGAAAACCCAATTCATTAATTGTTTTATTATACATTTTTAAACGATCTACAAGAGAAGACACTGCTCTCTGACTTGGCAAAAGTTTGAGAATACTACACGTACATGGGGCTTGGAAACTAGGTAGACTTTGAACGCGACATGATAACCCAACACCTACTGCAGATGTTGGGTTAGCGTATCAAATTCATATGGTACTTTGTAGTGACTGTACGCTCTCGACCAATCGGACTTGTCGTAATAAGTCTAATGTATAATGATTGGTTGAGTTTCTAACACGAATTTTCCATTGCGAAGAGATTCTAAAGCTGACGTTTCGAGATGATCAGCCCTTGGTCAGAGTGTCACACTTTACCTAGTACCCTTCTTAATAAGAGCACACACTAATGGGACTTTGAAGACTTGTTGGTTTACATCAAAGTTCTACCAGATGTTAAAATCTCCAGCAATAGGATTTTTTTACATTTGGATTTTTTTACATTACTGAGAGCAAGAAATAAAATAAACTGCACTCTATCTTTTAGTTGATTTATTTAAGATACCATAGAATTTACTTCTGAGCTTCTACTACTAGTACAACTGATAGTATACGTCAAAGGCAACTGATGTCTAAGACGCAGTTTGCCCAAATGCTATCGCAAACGAACAATCTGATGCGTACATAGTACTTTCAATGTAACTGAAATGAATGTGATGATCTCTACAGGGCAGTATTGTATCTACAGAAAGGGAATCTGTTGCCCGCCAGGTCTAGACTCAGGTTTTATCAAGTGGGATGACGAAAACGACAAAAATAACAATAATAAAAGCGGCGTACTTCCTACTGGCAACTATAGCATGAACACCGAGATTTACTTTTGCTGTGCGAAAAGTGGAAAAAAAACTGATCCTATCATCATTCCCGCTAAGGATCCATTCTTCCTGCTAGCCTATGCGTCTAAAGAATGTCAGATGGTCAAGTGGGCGGTTGCAAGTGTGGAGTGGATACGTTATCATACTGAAGACTCGAACAACAAGGATCGAACAGCTGGGGTGTACCCTTATAATGCTGGAATAAAGAACCCAACTATTTATTACTGTTACTACCGTGGTGGGCAGTCACACTTAAACATCATTCAGTTTTGGTCATCGATAAATATATCTCATTAACCAAGCGCGAGGGCCGTACTGGGAGAATATCGGCCCGAGGTCTTGACAGTACGAACCGAGCGCAGCGAGGTCCGTACAAAAAAGACCGAGGGCCGATATTCTTTGAGTACGGTCCCGAGCAAGCTTGGTTAATAAGAGATTTATTATACGACTGAAGTTCAAAGGGACACAAGTGCGGTATCATTCGGGACCATTCGGGACAGTGCCCGGTCCAATACTGAGAGAATATTGACCGGCAATAGAGCATTTTGATTGGTTGATTTTAGTTATTGGCCCTCTGACTGCCCGAGTCGTGTAATAAAAT